TGGTTACCACTGTAGGTTTGCAGAAGCTTAATGAGCCGGGCAGGCTGCTGGCCCCATCCCTGCTGCACCTGACTGGTCATCCTCGGATGCTTTGAAGACCTCGGTCAGCCCGTCTACGTCCTTAAGATCCAGCTTTCATTTCCTGATGGCTGGCTCACCAAGGCTGCGTCTGTCTTTTATTCAGGAAATCTCGAGAGCGGTTTCTCTGTGAATCTGTAGTCACAACATGTCAGCTCCACTTCTCTTCCGAGCAACTGCTCAAATTGAGAATGTTGACAGGTGCCAGCACCTTGTGCCCTCAAGATGCAAGGCCTTCAAGTACAGAAAGAGGTCAGTCCAAGTTTCTACAGCAGATGAGCTTCGGAGTCCACCCTCACTTAATCTCCTGCCCCGCCCTCAGCAGCAGGGCAGCATGTGACAGGCCATCATCAACAAACACTTGTAATCTGTGGAGTCATTTCAGCAAATGATGATACAGGTTCTACTGGGATATGAAAACCTGCCCCGTAGGGACAGCAGTGTTGTGACCGGACAGGTTGAGCAGTGACTTTGGTGTGGAGATGTCGAGTCCTCCTGTGCTCTGGCAGGGTGCAGATTCTCTTATGCCCAAACGTGTCCAGGTCGGATGGTGGTGGAGCAACTCCTGGCCAGCCTGTAGCAAACAGGGCCTTGGAGCACCAGCAGATCTGCTCCACTGGTTTTTGCCCCAGCTTCCTGAGGAGATGCTGAGCTAAGGCAAGCAAACCAGCAAGCAAACGACCCGTGGCACCTTGTCCCCACTTGGATGGGGAGCCCATGGTCCAACATGATGTGCTTGCTAACGGCCTTTATTCTTACAGTTGAGGAAAACCAGCCAGAGAGAGCCGGAGACAACACCCCCGAGTCCTTGGAATTACTAGTGACGAGTTTACAAGCCAGTCACTGCTGCTGTCATCCTACTCTCTATGCGTGGCCAAGCACGGAGGCCACCTAGCTCTAGGTCAGCGCCCTTGTGTCCCACAGGTTTTAACAGAGTTCTGAAATCCTGTTCAGAGGACAGGTGTAGCACAGTGCACGCATTGATGTCCCACACACTCGTTACCTGTCTCTTGTGTACCGTGATTGTCAGGTATATGAGGTCACAGTACATATGTGATGGGTGACACATCTTGATGGTCATAATTAACACCTGGCTTAGGTATATACTGTACTTCCTGTCATAGTTAGTGTGAACTTTCCCACTTAAAACGTTTACTGTAGAGCACTGTGTGCTTCTGGTCTTGGGCAGCCACACCCAGTCCCCTGAATCACAACGTCCCTTGTGTGTTGTGCGTTCTGTGTCTCGCTGTTGTTAGGAAATATCACTGTGAAGTATGTCCTGACCCCCAGTGCTAGTGGCAGCAGCAGCAAGAGGAAAGGACAAGTAAGGATACGGAAGTGGAAGAATGGGTCACGAACCCCCACAAAGCTGTGATGGCCACGTGTGCTACCTCCCAGCTTAGGCATGTTCGCACGGCGTCCAAATCCTGTAACAGCCCGATTCACACGGAGTGTCTCCATGGACAGGAGTGGCAGGACCAGTGTTCATGGAGGTCAGTGCCCTCCCTACACATGCTGTCACAGAAACCAGACTAGCATACAGGAAGCTGTGGCTGTAAAATGACTGCGAGGGAGTTAACAGTGAGCTCTCACGAGTAAACGGTGATCTTTCGAGTCTAAGTAACAGTTAAGTCATCAACCCGTGGGACCTGCCCCACAAACATCCTTCCTGCCCCTTCCAGGTAACCTAGAGCGATGCTCCAGACCTGCTTCCCAAGGTGCACCCACGGGCTGCCTCAGAATTTTGTCTAAAAGCAGCAAGAGAAACAGACGTTCCCCCTTAAGCTTTCAGTGCCCGCCTTCTGCTGCGCTGGCCAGGGCAAGTGCAATGTGCAGTTCCTTCAGGCGACTCCCTCCCTCCCATCCACTCTCATTACCTCCTTCAGGGAGACACTGGACTGGCAAGGATACCCATGTGTGTGCCTTAGGGCCAGCAATTACAAATCCCTCGAAAATAACAGTAGTTTTGTGGTTTGTTTGTTTTTTTCTCTATTTATTTTTTAGAAGAGTGACACCAGTCTTCTTCAAAGAAAAAGACCTTTTCTGTTTCAAAATGGGAGTATGGCCAGTTATGCTTTTGGATTTTATGTAGGAGATGCTGAATTCTTGGGGCCAACTTTCAGAAAAATCAGATTCACCACAATTGGCAAGGTTCATTTACAGAGACGATGCTCTCTCTTCTCTTGTTCAAGCTTGTGCTCTTGAAGGGTGAATACTCAAAAGAAAACCTACGAAGAGGCTAATTCACTGAAGGCAAAGGGTGGTAGAGACTACAAAGTCACACTCCAGACAGGAGACACGGAGAAATTGTTGAGAAGGGATGAACCTATTTCCTGGCTTATGAATTCAGCTTAACAGACGACAGAGTTGTCTTCTGTAAGTTGCCTATGAATATGGATTTCAAAACAAACATAAAGCCTTAACTTAGAATTTCGTTATGTTTTAGAATTGTCACTGCCTTAATGTTTAAACATCTGTTGAAATCCTTAAGAAGAAATGCATGTTTGTTTTTGGCTTTTTTGTTACTGTAAATGCAGTGATTTATGGCTTTAAATTTTTTTGTTTCTGTGACTGTTTGTTGGTCAAGTTCGTAGAGTCATTTGCAGAGAACCAGAGCATGTACCACCGAGTTCTTCCTGTAAAGAACCACCAGTTGCCCTGAGAACCTTCGTTAACCTGACTTGTTCCAAGATTATTTGTAAAAGCTGAGTATCAGTGATTAAAGAGAAGTGAGAATTCTACGGGCTGGTTTTGCTGTTTCTTCTGTTTCTTAATCTCATATAATTTCTGTTGCCTTTTCACAAGCTCATCATCTGAAGGTCATATAACGGAGGAATTGTCCCTCAGGTTTCCATTGCTGTTTTACCTTTGTTCATGAAAGACACTAACGATTTCCCTAGGGGAAAATGAAGAGAGACTCCATTACCAAAGTTTGTTTTGGTTCAGGTAAAGGATAAAAAAACCCAAAAACCAAATCTTCAGATTTAAAGTTTTGGAAAATGTACACAAGGGAAATGAAGCCAATTTATGCATTTGCAAAATGTGACCACTGTATTAACAGGGTGCCTTTTGTCTTTGTGAGTAACATGGCTCCTTCGTGCAAAAGTGAGAAACTATGAGTAGTTTTTTACTGTTATGCTGCAGGAAACCCAAATGAGTGGCTGCTGCTGACCGCCTTGAGCTGAAAACTCGAGAATGTTCTAAGTCTTTTCTGAAAGCAGCTCAGTATGACTTGAAGCTACTTTAAATAACAGTTTAGTGATGGAGTAGCATCAAGGGTCTTTTCTTGACCTTTGCTGCCCTTAGTTTGAAGATGTTTCTCTTCATCCCAGCCCAAGCCTCTAACCAGTACTGCCTCTCCAGGAACACTTCAAAACAGAACTGATCCCACTGAGTCAGTTCTGACACACGGCCACCCTCCAGGACAGAGAACTGCCCACTGAGTCTCCCAGGCTGGGAACTGCACAGGCAGCCAGCCTCATCTTCTGTGCAGCAGCCGGGCACTTCCAGCAGCCAACTGTTCTGGTGGCAGCCAAGCACTTTGATCACTGAGCCACCAGGGCT